TCTTCCAGCTGGAGGGACACACAGATTGGTGATTTCGTGAACAAGTGTTTGAGGCGTGTAAATAGTCGCCCCATTTCTTCTCATACGCTCCTCTCTGCGTTTCTCCCTACCTCTTAATTCGTTGCCTCTCTTCCAGCTGGAGGGACACACAGATTGGTGATTTCGTGAACAAGTGTTTGAGGCGTGTAAATAGTCGCCCCATTTCTTCTCATACGCTCCTCTCTGCGTTTCTCCCTACCTCTTAATCCGTTGCCTCTCTTCCAGCTGGAGGGACACACAGATTGGTGATTTCGTGAACAAGTGTTTGAGGCGTGTAAATAGTCGCCCCATTTCTTCTCATACGCTCCTCTCTGCGTTTCTCCCTACCTCTTAATTCGTTGCCTCTCTTCCAGCTGGAGGGACACACAGATTGGTGATTTCGTGAACAAGTGTTTGAGGCGTGTAAATAGTCGCCCCATTTCTTCTCATACGCTCCTCTCTGCGTTTCTCCCTACCTCTTAATTCGTTGCCTCTCTTCCAGCTGGAGGGACACACAGATTGGTGATTTCGTGAACAAGTGTTTGAGGCGTGTAAATAGTCGCCCCATTTCTTCTCATACGCTCCTCTCTGCGTTTCTCCCTACCTCTTAATTCGTTGCCTCTCTTCCAGCTGGAGGGACACACAGATTGGTGATTTCGTGAACAAGTGTTTGAGGCGTGTAAATAGTCGCCCCATTTCTTCTCATACGCTCCTCTCTGCGTTTCTCCCTACCTCTTAATTCGTTGCCTCTCTTCCAGCTGGAGGGACACACAGATTGGTGATTTCGTGAACAAGTGTTTGAGGCGTGTAAATAGTCGCCCCATTTCTTCTCATACGCTCCTCTCTGCGTTTCTCCCTACCTCTTAATTCGTTGCCTCTCTTCCAGCTGGAGGGACACACAGATTGGTGATTTCGTGAACAAGTGTTTGAGGCGTGTAAATAGTCGCCCCATTTCTTCTCATACGCTCCTCTCTGCGTTTCTCCCTACCTCTTAATCCGTTGCCTCTCTTCCAGCTGGAGGGACACACAGATTGGTGATTTCGTGAACAAGTGTTTGAGGCGTGTAAATAGTCGCCCCATTTCTTCTCATACGCTCCTCTCTGCGTTTCTCCCTACCTCTTAATTCGTTGCCTCTCTTCCAGCTGGAGGGACACACAGATTGGTGATTTCGTGAACAAGTGAGGCGTGTAAATAGTCGCCCCATTTCTTCTCATACGCTCCTCTCTGCGTTTCTCCCTACCTCTTAATTCGTTGCCTCTCTTCCAGCTGGAGGGACACACAGATTGGTGATTTCGTGAACAAGTGTTTGAGGCGTGTAAATAGTCGCCCCATTTCTTCTCATACGCTCCTCTCTGCGTTTCTCCCTACCTCTTAATTCGTTGCCTCTCTTCCAGCTGGAGGGACACACAGATTGGTGATTTCGTGAACAAGTGTTTGAGGCGTGTAAATAGTCGCCCCATTTCTTCTCATACGCTCCTCTCTGCGTTTCTCCCTACCTCTTAATTCGTTGCCTCTCTTCCAGCTGGAGGGACACACAGATTGGTGATTTCGTGAACAAGTGTTTGAGGCGTGTAAATAGTCGCCCCATTTCTTCTCATACGCTCCTCTCTGCGTTTCTCCCTACCTCTTAATTCGTTGCCTCTCTTCCAGCTGGAGGGACACACAGATTGGTGATTTCGTGAACAAGTGTTTGAGGCGTGTAAATAGTCGCCCCATTTCTTCTCATACGCTCCTCTCTGCGTTTCTCCCTACCTCTTAATCCGTTGCCTCTCTTCCAGCTGGAGGAACACACAGATTGGTGATTTCGTGAACAAGTGTTTGAGGCGTGTAAATAGTCGCCCCATTTCTTCTCATACGCTCCTCTCTGCGTTTCTCCCTACCTCTTAATTCGTTGCCTCTCTTCCAGCTGGAGGGACACACAGATTGGTGATTTCGTGAACAAGTGTTTGAGGCGTGTAAATAGTCGCCCCATTTCTTCTCATACGCTCCTCTCTGCGTTTCTCCCTACCTCTTAATCCGTTGCCTCTCTTCCAGCTGGAGGGACACACAGATTGGTGATTTCGTGAACAAGTGTTTGAGGCGTGTAAATAGTCGCCCCATTTCTTCTCATACGCTCCTCTCTGCGTTTCTCCCTACCTCTTAATTCGTTGCCTCTCTTCCAGCTGGAGGGACACACAGATTGGTGATTTCGTGAACAAGTGTTTGAGGCGTGTAAATAGTCGCCCCATTTCTTCTCATACGCTCCTCTCTGCGTTTCTCCCTACCTCTTAATTCGTTGCCTCTCTTCCAGCTGGAGGGACACACAGATTGGTGATTTCGTGAACAAGTGTTTGAGGCGTGTAAATAGTCGCCCCATTTCTTCTCATACGCTCCTCTCTGCGTTTCTCCCTACCTCTTAATTCGTTGCCTCTCTTCCAGCTGGAGGGACACACAGATTGGTGATTTCGTGAACAAGTGTTTGAGGCGTGTAAATAGTCGCCCCATTTCTTCTCATACGCTCCTCTCTGCGTTTCTCCCTACCTCTTAATCCGTTGCCTCTCTTCCAGCTGGAGGGACACACAGATTGGTGATTTCGTGAACAAGTGTTTGAGGCGTGTAAATAGTCGCCCCATTTCTTCTCATACGCTCCTCTCTGCGTTTCTCCCTACCTCTTAATTCGTTGCCTCTCTTCCAGCTGGAGGGACACACAGATTGGTGATTTCGTGAACAAGTGTTTGAGGCGTGTAAATAGTCGCCCCATTTCTTCTCATACGCTCCTCTCTGCGTTTCTCCCTACCTCTTAATTCGTTGCCTCTCTTCCAGCTGGAGGGACACACAGATTGGTGATTTCGTGAACAAGTGTTTGAGGCGTGTAAATAGTCGCCCCATTTCTTCTCATACGCTCCTCTCTGCGTTTCTCCCTACCTCTTAATTCGTTGCCTCTCTTCCAGCTGGAGGGACACACAGATTGGTGATTTCGTGAACAAGTGTTTGAGGCGTGTAAATAGTCGCCCCATTTCTTCTCATACGCTCCTCTCTGCGTTTCTCCCTACCTCTTAATTCGTTGCCTCTCTTCCAGCTGGAGGGACACACAGATTGGTGATTTCGTGAACAAGTGTTTGAGGCGTGTAAATAGTCGCCCCATTTCTTCTCATACGCTCCTCTCTGCGTTTCTCCCTACCTCTTAATTCGTTGCCTCTCTTCCAGCTGGAGGGACACACAGATTGGTGATTTCGTGAACAAGTGTTTGAGGCGTGTAAATAGTCGCCCCATTTCTTCTCATACGCTCCTCTCTGCGTTTCTCCCTACCTCTTAATTCGTTGCCTCTCTTCCAGCTGGAGGGACACACAGATTGGTGATTTCGTGAACAAGTGTTTGAGGCGTGTAAATAGTCGCCCCATTTCTTCTCATACGCTCCTCTCTGCGTTTCTCCCTACCTCTTAATTCGTTGCCTCTCTTCCAGCTGGAGGGACACACAGATTGGTGATTTCGTGAACAAGTGTTTGAGGCGTGTAAATAGTCGCCCCATTTCTTCTCATACGCTCCTCTCTGCGTTTCTCCCTACCTCTTAATTCGTTGCCTCTCTTCCAGCTGGAGGGACACACAGATTGGTGATTTCGTGAACAAGTGTTTGAGGCGTGTAAATAGTCGCCCCATTTCTTCTCATACGCTCCTCTCTGCGTTTCTCCCTACCTCTTAATCCGTTGCCTCTCTTCCAGCTGGAGGGACACACAGATTGGTGATTTCGTGAACAAGTGTTTGAGGCGTGTAAATAGTCGCCCCATTTCTTCTCATACGCTCCTCTCTGCGTTTCTCCCTACCTCTTAATTCGTTGCCTCTCTTCCAGCTGGAGGGACACACAGATTGGTGATTTCGTGAACAAGTGTTTGAGGCGTGTAAATAGTCGCCCCATTTCTTCTCATACGCTCCTCTCTGCGTTTCTCCCTACCTCTTAATTCGTTGCCTCTCTTCCAGCTGGAGGGACACACAGATTGGTGATTTCGTGAACAAGTGTTTGAGGCGTGTAAATAGTCGCCCCATTTCTTCTCATACGCTCCTCTCTGCGTTTCTCCCTACCTCTTAATTCGTTGCCTCTCTTCCAGCTGGAGGGACACACAGATTGGTGATTTCGTGAACAAGTGTTTGAGGCGTGTAAATAGTCGCCCCATTTCTTCTCATACGCTCCTCTCTGCGTTTCTCCCTACCTCTTAATTCGTTGCCTCTCTTCCAGCTGGAGGGACACACAGATTGGTGATTTCGTGAACAAGTGTTTGAGGCGTGTAAATAGTCGCCCCATTTCTTCTCATACGCTCCTCTCTGCGTTTCTCCCTACCTCTTAATTCGTTGCCTCTCTTCCAGCTGGAGGGACACACAGATTGGTGATTTCGTGAACAAGTGTTTGAGGCGTGTAAATAGTCGCCCCATTTCTTCTCATACGCTCCTCTCTGCGTTTCTCCCTACCTCTTAATTCGTTGCCTCTCTTCCAGCTGGAGGGACACACAGATTGGTGATTTCGTGAAGATTGATAACCTTGTGCAGGTTTGTGCATGTGCCCTCTTTGCACGACCCCCTCTAGTGCTATTCCGGTGTCGTGACCATGTGCTATTCCGGTGTCGTGACCATGTGTGTGAATGTGATTGCCTTTCATCCGTTTCAGCCCATACTATACCACAACCCACTTGCACAGAGTTGAAAGGGTTACAACCCACCGGCATCACTTGCATATCCCCTGCTCTGACTAAACTCCATTGGCTGAACCCAAGCAGTTCGGTCACACTGTGGCCATCGGTCGTTCCTGCATCATCTGTGGCAAAACCAGCATTGACTGACTTCATTGACCCCATTGACTGACCTCATTGACCCCATTGACCCCATTGACCCCATTGACCCCATTGACCCCATTGACTGACCTCATTGAGCCCATTGACTGACCTCGTTGACCCCATTGACCCCATTGACTGGCCCCATTGACTCCATAAATCGACCCCATGCAACCCGACCAGATTGGTCACAATGTGGTCATCGGTCGCTGCTGCATCATCTGCGGGCAAACCGGCATTGGCGGCTCGTCCACGTGAGTACACACTGCAATTTCCAGGCGCCTCAAAAATAGGCTCGTCCACATGAGTACACACTGCAATTTTCAGGCGCCTCAAAAATAGGCTCGTCCACGTGAGTACACACTGCAATTTTCAGGCGCCTCAAAAATAGGCTCGTCCACGTGAGTACACACTGCAATTTTCAGGCGCCTCAAAAATAGGCTCGTCCACGTGAGTACACACTGCAATTTTCAGGCGCCTCAAAAATAGGCTCGTCCACGTGAGTACACACTGCAATTTTCAGGCGCCTCAAAAATAGGCTCGTCCACGTGAGTACACACTGCAATTTTCAGGCGCCTCAAAAATAGGCTCGTCCACGTGAGTACACACTGCAATTTTCAGGCGCCTCAAAAATAGGCTCGTCCACGTGAGTACACACTGCAATTTTCAGGCGCCTCAAAAATAGGCTCGTCCACGTGAGTACACACTGCAATTTTCAGGCGCCTCAAAAATAGGCTCGTCCACGTGAGTACACACTGCAATTTTCAGGCGCCTCAAAAATAGGCTCGTCCACGTGAGTACACACTGCAATTTTCAGGTTGGCCTGGCGTGCATATTTTTTTTCTTCCCAATTTGCCATTTTTTTCTTCTTCTATCCAAGTCAGTCATTGCGTTTTTTTTTTGTGCCACATCACATGCATTCTGCATACGTGGCATCAAATTCATGCATGTGTGCATGCATGGCATCAATCACGTCACTTGCGTGTGTGTGTGTGAATCACATGTGCATGCACGGCAGTCTGGGCGACTATGTGGTGCTGGCAGGGCAAGTGGGCGTGGCAGATCATGTCACCATAGCAGATAAGGTACTCCCCTCACCACCCCTCAGCACCTTTCACCACCCCCGCACCACCCCTCAGCACCTCCCAGCACCCCTCACCACTCACTATTTCCAGATCCCTTTGTAGTTTCATGATTACTCACCGGCCCAGGCACCACCCATGTGATTCCTACCCTGCTGCCTTGTTGTAATACAGCCCCGTGACTTGTCGCCATGCCATAGCTTGTGTGTCATTGTCTGCGCTCCACTGCTTGTGGCATCACTCGTGGCGTCTTTTGTGTCATCTCTTGTGTAGTTTCTTGTGTCATTGTGGGTGCGCCATCACACCCGGGCCCTGCAGGTGCGCGTGGCAGCCAAGTGGCATCGGACATCAAGGAGCCGGGGGACTACCTGCGTGTGTCCCTGTCTCCATCATTGCATGTGTGTCTCCCTGTGTGCATGCATCCTTGCCCCCTGCAGGTGCGCGTGGCAGCCAAGTCAAGAGTGGCATCGGATATCAAGGAGCCAGGGGACTATGCCGGCTTCCCCACGGTACTCTCATCTGCCCATCACGTGTGCCATTGCGTTGCGTGTGCATTGTGTGCAACCCTTGCCCCCTGCAGGTGCGCGTGGCAGCCAAGTCAGGAGTGGCATCAGACATCAAGGAGCCAGGGGACTATGCCGGCTTCCCCACGGTACACCCACCCACCCACCTGCCCATCCCTCATACCATCCCTCCCTCCTTCCCTCTCTCCCGTCCCTCTCTGCTTCCCTTCTCCCTTTCCTTCTTTCTCCCTGCCTGCCTCTCTGCCCGCCTCTCTGCCTACCTGTTTGCCTCTTTCTTCATCCATCCCCCCCTCCCTCTCTAACTCCATCCCCCCCTCCCTCCCTCCCTCCTTGCCTCATGCTTCCCCCTCTCCACCCTCCCCCCCTCTCTGACTCGATGTTTCCCCCACGCAGCACCCACCTGCCTGCCCCAATCTCCCAGATAAAAGACAAGTGAAATTCACATTTCACCACACCCTCTGCATGCCCTGTGTTTTCTTATGCATCAGTTCAGTTTCTTTTTTAGGATCCATGTTTACATCATTGCTCAAGACAGTGAAGGGTTGAGTACCGCAGGGCATTTCATGGATAATGTGGTATTTTTTCCCCATTCGTCCTCCCTCCTGTCGCGCTTTGTGGTTTTGGCACAGGTGAAAGCGAGCGAGTGGCGGCGACTGGTGGTGATGGAAAGAAGAATGATGAAGGGAACGGATAGATCTGCCCCATCTGCTAATCCAACGGTGAAGAAGGCTTGAGACTGAGTGCAGGAGGGGTGTAGGGGTATTTGCATATAGGATAAAGATGGGTAGATGAGAGTTCAATTCACTTGCTGGTTTTATATTCATGAAGTATATCATTTTAGGTATGCACATCGTTGTTTAGTACAGTAAATAGAGAACAAAAGCAACGCAATTTGGCGGGAAGCCACGGTAACGCATTATGAATGCTCAACTGCAATATTTGTAAATGTAAATATCTTTGACCGCCGAATCGCGCTTTCTCACTTCCCTTCCCGGTCGGCTTGGAAAGACATGTCCGCGCGCGCCTGCCGTAATCTGGGGCGGCGTACCACACTAACCGGAGCACATAAGACATCTTAAGCGCCGTACCGCGCCTACCGCAGCGCCATGGGTCTGGACGGCGGAACAATTATTTCGCGCACCGACGTCATCCGAGGAGCGTCGTGGCGCCTCGCCTCCAGGTCTCTACCGCCGCCGTTACCGTCACCGTTATCGATACCATACCGTTACCGTCACCGTTACCGACCGCCACCGTAAACATTACCGTTACCGTTCACCACCTGCTTAGCTGCTGACAGGCAATACCTTGTCCACTGTCCCTCCCGAATTTGCTCCCGTTCCCAACTCCCCCTTTGGCTCCGCCGTTTCTTGCGCTCCCCCGTTCGCTCTCCTCCCCCTCCCCTCATCCATCCCCTGAGTTGCGCTTCTCCTGCACCCTGCGCTCCTCCCCCCAATCTTTCCGCGCGACCGCAAAGCAGGGACTCCGCGCGGTCGACGCGCGGGGGGCAGCTCTCCGCGGGCGACCTGCTGGGCGGAGAGGAGCGCGTGGGCGCGCGGGAGCAGCGCGACGCCGCGTGGAGCGCGTGCGCGCTCACGGGGGAGGCGCTGCGAGAGCCAATCGTGGTGTGCCAGCTCGGACGACTGTGAGGGGGGAGAGGGAAGGGGGAAGAGGGGGAGGAAAGGGCGGTGGCGGGGAAGGGAGGGGAGGATGGGAGGGAGGGGGATGAGGGGAAGAGGAGGATTAGATGGGAAACGAAAGTGAGAGAGGACGAGTGAAGGTTCGGCCCCCTGTGTCTCCTTCTCTTGCCTCTTCTGCCGTCCACACCTCCCTTCATCGTGCCTCCATCTCTCCAGCTACAACCGTACGAGCTAGAGAGAATGATATAGAGATGCAGCCCCAGTTCATGTACGTCCCCCCTGTTTCCCCCCATCCCGCCCCTTTTTATTTCAGCTACAACTGGGAAAGCGTGCTACAGCTGGTTCACGTAGTACGTTCTCCCTGTTTCCCCCATCTCCTTCTCCCCCCCCCCTTTTTCCAGCTACAACCGGGAGAGCGTGCTACAGCTGCTGCTGTGGCGAGCGGGTGTTGTAGCAGAAGAGAGTCACAAGGTGAGACACAGCAGCTCACCCTGCTCTGCAGTGCGGTGCAGTGTGGTGCAGTGCTGTGCTGTCCGTCACTGAGCCCAACCATTTCGGTCCGTCTCCTCTCCCCTTCCCTTTCCTGCACGCACTTGTGCGGTGCAGTGTGGTACAGTGGTGTGTGTCTCAATCAAGTGTACTCTTTCAATCCCTCTCTCGCATCCCTTCCCTCCCTCCATTCCCCCTCCATCCATCCCCCCTTCTCTATCTCCCCTCTTCAACCCCTTCTCTGTCCCCTCCTCCTTCTCCACGCCCCCCTTCTCTCTCGGCCTCCCTTTTGCCCATGTCCATGTGCCATCCCCCAATTCCCCTCCAGTGGCGCTTCACCAGGCTGCAGGACCAACTGCACCGCTTTGCACACATCCTCCCTCTCCTCCCTCTCCCCCCCCTCCCCCACTCCACCCCCCCCCCCCTACTGCCCGAATCCATGAGCAATCCCCCATTCCCCCTCCAGTGGCGCTTCACCAGGCTGCAGGACCAACTGCACCGTTTTGCACACATCCGATTCACCAAGGTGAGAGCAGGGGAGAAGGGAAGCAGAGGAATCGGGGGAAACGGGGGAGCTGAGGAAGGGGGAAGCAGGGGAGTGAGCGAGCAGGGGAGCAGGGCAGCAGGGCAGCAGGGCAGCAGGGCAGCAGGGCAGCAGGGCAGCAGGGCAGGGCAGCAGGTGACCCCATGAGCCCAGGGGAACAGGGGGGTAGTTATGAGAGCGCTGGCATGGCAACAAGAGCAGGTGGGTAGTTATGAGAGCGCTCCCGCTTCCCACCCTCCCCTCCTCTCTCCCGCTTCCCACCCTCCCCTCCTCTCTCCCGCTTCCCACCCTCCCCTCCTCTCTCCCGCTTCCCACCCTCCCCTCCTCTCTCCCGCTTCCCACCCTCCCCTCCTCTCTCCCGCTTCCCCCTGCTCGCCTTTGCAGTGAATCTTCATTCTGTTTCTCCCCCCCTTCCTTCCCTCTCCTCCCCTCCTCCCTCTCCCCCCTCTTCTCCGCCTCTCCCCTCCCCTCGCCACTCCCCCCAGGACATTGCCTCTGTGCGCTTCCCCTCAGTCACTTTTGAGAATTCTAAAAAGCACTCCTCCCTCTCCGCCCTCTCCTCCTTCGCCTCGCCCCTCCCCCCTCGCCACACCACTCCCCCAGGACATTGTGACAGTGCGCTTCCCCTCAGTCGACCATGCAGCCCACAGCAGCAGGGGTGACAGTGGCGGGGGTAACAGCGATGAGGTTGAGAATGGGACCAACAATGTTAGCAGCAGGTGTGGCACCGATACTAGCCCTGCTGGTGTTGCTTCTGGTGCTGCTTCTGCTGACGCACTGACTGCAACTGCTGCTGCCGGTAGCAGTAGCAGAACTGGTGGCAGCAGCCCAACGAGAGGCAGGGGCAGCAGTGGGGCCAGCAGCAGCAGCAGGAACGCCTCGCACTGGGTTTGCACGCTGTCAGGTGCCTCTGCCAGCAGTGGCCAGCCGTGAGTGGGGCACAACAAGGGGCAGTGGGGCACATGGGGAAGTAAGGTACAAGGTGCAGCGGGGCACATGGGTTTGCACGCTTTCAGGTGCCACCGCCAGCAATGGCCAGCCGTGCGCACAGGGCAACAGAGCACACGCGGCAGCAGGGCACACAGGGCAGCAGGGCACACGGGGCAGCAGGGCACACGGGGTTGTTACTGCATATTTCTTGCCATTATTTTGATGCCGGTGCCAGTGAGAATGCCTCAGTGCCACCTTTCTTATCCCCCTCCCGTCCCAATTCCGTCCCGTCCTTCTTCCCTCCCATCTCCCTTCCCTCCCATCCCTCGTCCCTCCCATTCCCCCTCCTCTGCACAGCTTCTCTCTCCTCCGCCCCTGTGGACATGCCTTCAGCACACGAGCGCTGGCTCAGGTGGGGCTTCAGGGTGGGTGGTGAGCACGTGCTTAGTAGGTGATCGTTCAGGTGATTCCTCACCTGGTTCTTAAGGTAATGGCTCAGGTTATTTGTGTGATCACTCAGGTCATTGCAATTAACTCTTCTGCGTCAAAACCACATGTCACATTCCTTTCTTCCTTTCTTGTTCTTCCTCTCCCCCATTCTCCCTTTCGTGTACTCTCTCTCTCTCTCTCTCTCTCTCTCTCTCTCTCTCTCTCTCTCTCTCTCTCTCTCTCTGTGTGAACCCCCATCAGTTGAAGGAGAGGCAGTGCCCTGTGTGTGGGAAGGATTACGATGGAAGCTTTGATGTCACCCCCATCAACCCCACAGCTGACCAGGTAAGTAGTACATCTGCCAAATGAATACATATGATGATACTATGCCTGATCAGGTTACATTGTAACTGACCGGATGGAGTTGTACTTGTTTTGTTGGGGCCCTCGATATTGTCTTCTTTTTTTACTTTCTTCGAGTGTGTGGGATTGCCTTGTTGCGTTACAAGAATGCACCATTTGTCAGTGCCTTTTTTTTTTTGGATCGCCAACTCAGGTGGAGCACTTACAGCAACAACTGAAAGTGAAAGGTCGTGGCAAGAGAAAGTGTGTGCCAGCATCTGATCACAGTCCCGGATGTCATGCCGAATCGTCATCGGTATGTCTCTGTTGTTTTCTTCTATTATTTTCCAAGTTTCCGTCCAGCTCTCTTGTCCCGTTGTCACATGTATGAAGAGTTTGCTTGTGTCCGTTGTTCTTTTTTTTTAGGGTAGGGAGCAGAAGAATCAACGGTGCTGCAAGAAAAAATGAAGTTCATCTTCAAGTTGTAAAAAACCTCCTCATAATGAGGTGATTTTATATGTAAACAGATAATTCTATGTTTGCCTTTGAAAGCACTCGAGTCATTCTGTAACGAGGATTTTGCAAGTGATATTTGGTGAATCACTTCACGTGCTCTGCCAGCTTGATAAAGTACTGTTGGAAATCTTATCAAGCTTCAGCAGGGCCAACGATCATTCAAGGTCCTTCGCGCTCCACCCTTGCTTGCTAGTTAATACCGGCAGTAGTTGTCGGGGTCAGTCTCATGGACAATCTTTAAAGAATATGATACGCATTGCCAGTGGTTGATCATTCTTCCATACTGTAACTTAGCGAGAAATAACAAATCTCACCTGGGTAACCGATGCTTCACCTTTTGTTTTTGCAATCGAAACAATCTCACCCTCGTTTTAAAGCTTCAGTATACATTTGAAAGGAGGGGTTCAAAATCCCAGTAAACCCCAGTGACAAATGTATACTTGAGCTTTAAGGCACACCACCCTGCAAATGCCTCCTCGTCCACGCGTACCTTATCTGGCAGAAATCCCCTTATCTGTAACTGTGATCGGCTAGTTTTGGCAATTAATCTCGCTGTATAGCACCAGTTGCTCCAATCGCCCTACTCTTTTCTCAATCGTCTTCGTGCTCCCCTGAACATGATCGGTTGATTAATATCGTGTGTGCATATTGGCTCTCTTATTGGCTCTTTCTCGAGTATCAAATCTGGACTCTCCACTTAACAAATCACCCGCACAGTTTGGCCGTAAACGTACGCACGGGCCATTGGGATCCATTGTTTTGCGTGGCGATGTCTAGATCCAGGAGCTTTCCGCTTGGGCGCGTGACGTTAACAGCAAGTCTGTGACGTAGGCTGGAAGGCGATTGTGCCGGACGTGACAAGTTACCCCAATGTTCGCATGTACTACGGTGACACACTGACACGGTTCTCGTCTCGTTACGGCGGCGAGGTGATCTGAACAAGGAGCGCCGCCGATCTCGTCCAACATCACGTTTGCCCAGTCAGCTATGCCTAGGGGAGTCGTACTGTAGTGTCGAGCCTCTCTGAAAGGACAGTCTTGAGACAGTTCACCTTCGATTTTCCAAGGGTCAACTGAAGATGTTTAGCCTCTCAGCCTTCGTTCGCATCGCATCGCATCTCTTCGCATATACGCTCGCCTCACTCCTTCCTTGATCGACGCGCCATTACAGTACAGTACAGTGGTGTGTTGCGAAGAGTGCGCGTGAGGCGCAGGTGGGGTGTGCGTAGTGAGTGATCATTCTGAAGGCTGGTATTTCCTGAAAGATCACTAGTCACTACACATACATGTGTATGTGCGAAACAGAGGAAGGGTCCTTCTCGAGAACCCTTGGTGACTCGGTTCTCGGTACAGTACCACACGCCTTTCTTTTTCCTTTGGTCCTCCTCCGCCTCCGTCTCTGTCTTTGAACGGAACGGACAATTCTTTCCCATTTCGTAGTACGTACGGTGGTACATAGTGGCGTATCCACGGCATCCCAAGGTGCATGCACCCATAACATCCCGTTATGATCTGGCGTGGGCTGGCTAACAGTCGTGGATTAGGTCAGCATGTGGGCTGGGGTGACCACTCCAGCAGGGCTTCGCAGTGTACAAACATCATATCTATGGTATTCCTATCATGATAGGAATGATTACTACATCACGGACCCTTGCATGTGGCGTGAATGATGCCTGCGATTCTGCCACCTGTACGCCGCAGAACCAGATTCTGAGAATCGACACCATTTGGACCTTTTTTACGGTTCTCTGCAGCGTGATTGGTGCAAGTGGCACCCAGCGTTTTCTCGCTTGATAAATCTTCTCCAGATTCACTATTGTACCATTCCACGTGGTAGTAGTAAACAGGCTGATGCATAACTTTGGGACCGATTTCGTTTTCTACTAATCCTCTCTCAAATTATCTTCGTTCCGATAATTCCTTCCAGAGAGTGCTTTTCTGCTCTTCGTTCTAATTTGAAGCTTCTGAAAAAAAATGACTGCGTCCGCTCCCTCTCTCTCCTGGAGAGTGCTCTCCTGCTCTTTCAGTCCGTGTTAACTTGGTGTGTCTTTCCTCATAATGGATTTCTTGGACGCGAATCTACCAGGGGAACCGTGTCTCGACGCGACAATAACGGGAGCACCATCATGCTTCGACGTGCTCCAAACGGGGGAGCTTCCAGCCGTGCCGCCGGCGGATTGGAGCAGCATCGGCAGGGAGGAGCTCCGCCTGATCCAAGAAGCGCTGCAGCGCGCCGAGCAGCCCAGACTGGGAAATTCCGAGCCTGCTTTAATCCCCGAGAAGCAACGGCTGTGTGAGTTCAACCCAGCTTCAAGCGCGGAGCGCGCAGGGATGGTGCTAATGCCATTAGTGGAGGGTGAGGGAGAGAGTACGGATGGAAGTGGGGCTCTGGGGATTCTATCCCTTCCCAACCCCCTGCTGACTCAGACTCCGAATGAGAGTCATCCTTCCCTTCCCGTGCTTCCTGCGCCGCTGCTGACTCAGCATATGCCGCCCAATCAGCAGCTGCAAACTCAGCCGTCTTCAGAGCTCGGCACCTCTCCTCCTCCACCGCGCTCCTTCCCCTCGCCGTCCCTTCCCGTTGCCCTCAACCGCTCATCAACCTTCGGAGCCCACAGATTTCCCAATTTGGTACCATCGTTCGGCACAAAACGAAGGCTTTTAGCCTCACAGATTAATGACCTATCTCAAATGGACGTTTTTCATGGGAGGAAGAGGTTATGTGGTAACCCTGCTGCTGTTGACGAAACTGGTCTCCCTCTTGCCGCGCCTGCTGCTGTTGCGACTGCTGTTGCCATTGAACGGTGCGTTGCTGCTGGTGGCTTCTCTAGGAGTAGCGGTAGCAGCAGCAGCCTCGTTTCCGACGAGAGAAGGCGGAGCGGTATCGCCAAGCACAATGCAGAATGGAATGCAGCAGCAGCAGCAGCAGCCCTTCCTGCTATGGCCACTCCCACCCGTGCAACACGTGTGGCACCAAGAATCACACCTGCTCCAGTGCCTTCCTTCTGGACTGCTGCTGCAACTGCTGCTGCGACTTCCCCTGCGACTGCTGCTGGGACTTTTCCTGCGGGTGCTGCTGCTGCAACCACATGCCCAAGAGACTCTGGCGTGTGCCGCACACGTCCAGGCGTGAGCCCCACACACTCTGACGTGGGCCCCACACACTCTGGCGTGTGTCACCCATGTGCTGGCGTGTGCCTGCCACAGCACCCATTGGACCAGCTTGCTGCTCCTCTCGTGAAGCCTCTGACACCGCATCCCTTTGAAATGGCACGTGGTGTGGGACTTGGCGGGTGCACGGACGCTTCTCCCCTGGCCGCTGCTGCTTTTGATGGTGGTGGTGGTGGTGCTGCTGCTGCTGCTCTGGCTGCTCCTGCCATGCCAGTCTCGTCCCTTGCACACCAGCGGAGGCAGGCAGCTATTAGCTGCCTGTTGAGACGGCTCCAGGGTCAAGCACCTGGCAGCACCGCACTGCACTGCCCCGTCTCGCCAGAGCAGCGTTTTGAGCCGTCTCAAGGGCTGTCGCCATCGCTGCATTCTCCAAAACCAAATCCGCTAGTGGAGCCAGCAGTGCAACCAGATTTCTCCCAAGCACATGCGCACGAACCCTTCACTCCAAACACCTCCGTACCGCAGCCGCACGCACAGCACCCCTTCACACCGCACTCGCCGCAAATGCAGGCAGCAGCAGTGCGTGGGTCTGCGTCAGCCCGGGAGTCAACCCCAGGAGGAAGCATGGGCTTTAAGTCGCCCTCTGCAACCCCGTCCCCGTTGTCCCAGTCCCCGAGGGGAGGGGTGGGACGTGCAGGGACAGGAGGGAGGCAAATCACGGGGAAGAGTGCTACGGAAAAGCATATGCGGTCCAGAATAACGTGAGTTGGGTGGTGGTCCAGTTCGGTGTGTGCGTTGACTCCTGTTGACTTGAAGGTTCGGCCATGTTCACACTGGTTGACTTTTGCTGACTTGGGAATTCTTGTTGACTCGTGCTCTGCACATTACTTGAGCTCACTACTCTTCCAAAGATTCCTTCCCTCCCTCCTTCCTTCATGTGCAATGCCCCGTCCCTTCCTCATCCCATTGTACATCACAGTGAGCGAATGAACGCACTCAAGGCAGTGTTACCACTTTCAAGTCAACTTCAATAGCCAGCCTTATGCGTGCCTTGCCCCTCTCCTTTTCTTCCCTTCCTCCTCCCATGTCTCACAGAGAGCGGTTAGAGGCCCTCAAGGCAGTGATACCAGCGGAGGTGCTGCTGAGGCAGCAGGGCCGGGCGGGGTTCAGCAATCGCACTCAGATAGCCACTCTTTTAGATGCTGCTGTGGGGTTCATTGAAGGAATGCGCGAGTACAAGCTAGAGCTGGAAACGCAGCTGCTGGCCTCGTAACGGCTTTTCAGGCGCCTCAAAAGTCGCATGCAGGTAGCCACTCTCTCCTGGATGCTGCCGTGGGGTTCATTGAGGGAATGCGGGAGTACAAGCTGGAGCTGGAGAGGCAGCTGCTGGCCTCGTAACTGCGTGTCTAGTCTGAGCAAACTACCTCGAATTCCCACAAAGCCACTCTCTTCTGGATGCTGCCGTGGGTTTCATTGAGGGCGTGCGCGAGTACAAGCTCGAGCTGGAGAGACAGCTGTGGGCCTCATGATACTACGTCCGAGAACCCTTACACATGAAGTTTTAACAACGCTGCAGCAGCCTTCAGTTGCATCGCCACCACTCGCATGCACATAGGGGCTCTCGCTCACTTCGGGTTGCCGCCGTGGGGTTCATCGAGGGAATGCGCGAGTACAAGCTGGATCTGGAGAGACAGCTGCTGGCCTCGTGACAGCGCATCTCATAGTTTTCAATGCTCTAGCAGGATGATTCAGCAACGCTCCAGCAGGCTTCATCTGAGCTGGAGAGGCAGCTGCTGGCCTCTTATCGGCGCAAACCACCCTGAAACCTCAAATAGCCGCCCCATTGTGGAAGTGCTGTGGGGTTCATTAAAGGAATGTGGGAGCACAAGGTAGAGCTGGAGAGGCAGCTGCGGGCCTCATAGCAGCAGTTCTTCTGAGAGAATGACCTGCCTCAGACTCTCATAGCAGCAGTTCCTCAAGAAGATGCAGATGTGTTCTGGATGCTGCATGGCATTGGGGGATTGCACGAGTTCAAGCTCGAGCTGGAAAGCAGCAGCAGCCTCGTGACAGTACCGTGGATGGTGGCTGGCTGGGCTATCCATTGACAGTACCGTAGATGGTGGCTGGCTGGCTGGGCTATCCATTGACAGTACCGCAGATGGTGGCTGGCTGGCTGGGCTATCCATTGACAGTACCGTAGATGGTGGCTGGCTGGCTGGGCTATCCATTGACAGTACCGCAGATGGTGGCTGGCTGGCTGGGCTATCCATTGACAGTACCGTAGATGGTGGCTGGCTGGCTGGGCTATCCATTGACAGTACCGTAGATGGTGGCTGGCTGGCTGGGCTATCCATTGACAGTACCGTAGATGGTGGCTGGCTGGCTGGGCTATCCATTGACAGTACCGTAGATGGTGGCTGGCTGGCTGGGCTATCCATTGACAGTACCGTAGATGGTGGCTGGCTGGCTGGGCTATCCATTGACAGTACCGTAGATGGTGGCTGGCTGGCTGGGCTATCCATTGACAGTACCGTAGATGGTGGCTGGCTGGATGGGCTATCCATTGACAGTACCGTAGATGGTGGCTGGCTGGCTGGGCTATCCATTGACAGTACCGTAGATGGTGGCTGGCTGGATGGGCTATCCATTGACAGTACCGTAGATGGTGGCTGGCTGGCTGGGCTATCCATTGACAGTACCGTAGATGGTGGCTGGCTGGCTGGGCTATCCATTGACAGTACCGTGGATGGTGGCTGGCTGGATGGGCTATCTATTGACAGTACCGTAGATGGTGGCTGGCTGGATGGGCTATCCATTGACAGTACCGTAGATGGTGGCTGGCTGGATGGGCTATCCATTGACAGTACCGTGGATGGTGGCTGGCTGGATGGGCTATCCGTGCCTCTAACGAGATCATCGAAGCTCACGCTGAGCCTCGACTCTCTGCGGCCCGGGCCATTTTTTAGTTTTAAAGGTCTTGAGCTATAATTCTTTTACTCGCGTTGAAGGTCGCGCATGGGCTGGTGCAGGTACTCTGCTGGTGCTTGTTTCTGTTGCCTACCGTACATGGGGTATGATAAACAAAGCAGCTACGGTACTTATTAGAATTCTCAGAAATCATATTCCGCACGGGCTGGTCAAGGTACTTTGCTGGTGCTTGTTCATGTGGCCTACCTGGCATATGTTGGGCAAAGCCACTAGGGGCGTCCAATTTTTGTAGCACATTGTGTAAAAGTAACAGTACCATATGAAATACCATACGCCGTACTGTATTATGCAAATCACTGGAAACATGATTTGCACGCTGTAGAATGATCCTGTGCTTGCATTGCATTGAATTGTATTGCAACGCACGTTCCAAATTAGTTGCTCGCGACTTGTCCAAAGGGGTAGCTATACTGATTGGTTGGATGTTAGCAGTTTCTAGAAGTATCAGTACCAGATATTAACCATCTGCTTGCCAAGAGTAGAGTCCACCTTTAAAAACTGTAGCTGCTCAATTCATTCAAAGTTAATTAAGGACTGCAACGGATCCAGGAGTGCTTTCTAAGCATTCGCAGCAGCAAACGAATAGAAGTAGTAGAAATTATCATGTGTGTAGTTTCCAACAATGGGAAAACGGTCTTTTGGTCCCAGTTACCCCTGTTGAAAGTGGAATCCGCCAGGAAATCCACCTGGGAAACCACCTGGGAAGCCTCCCCCCCCTTGGAAGTGAAACCTGACGTTCTGGCCAAAGGGGAAGCCACCACCTCCCCCCTGCTGCTCTGGTTCGTCCACTTCCTCTCCCCGGTCATACCGGCCCCTCTTGTCCTCGTCTCCTAACACCTGGAGGGTTGAAAGGGCAAGGGCGAAGTGAGGAAGGGAAGGACCGGAAGCTGGTTCGGAGCCCAACAGTGTGAGGTGAAGTTATGCTACGTCTCTCTCCCCTAACTCATCCCCTCGTTTCACTGAACCCATCCAGTTGACCCCATTGACCCTGTGTTGAACCCATTGACCATGCGTTGACCCCATCGACCCTGCATTGGCTCCATTGACCTCAACTCAACTCCCTCTCTCTCACCTCATAAGCAGCGGCCACCTCTCTGAACTGCTCCTCCGCCTCCTCCTTGTTCTCCACGTTCTTAGGGAGTGTTCCTACACCTCGTATCAGATACACCTCATATCAGCTTCGTGTGGTTCAACACGTTTCAGTGTGTTCGACTGTGGTTAGATGCGTTTTAGTGCGGTTGGACGCGAATCTGATAAGAGGTTGCCTGACAAGAGGTTGTAGAAAAAAGCCCAAATCCGGATGCCACTTCAGTGCCAGCCTCTTATACGCCTCTTGATGTCAGCAGCAGACGAGCTCTTGACCAACCCAGCACCTTGTACCTTGCACCCTACTCCACCAACCCTTCCCCTCCTCCCATACCCTGTGGACCCTGTGTGGGTTTCACCCACACCCCCTCTCACCTCATAAGCAGCAGCCACCTCCCTAAACTGCACCTCCGCTTCTGCCTTGTTCTCCACGTTCTTATCCGGATTCCACTGGAGTGCTACACTCTTGCATCAATCCCTCTCATGTTGCATTCTCACCTCAAACGTGTGGCTATCACCCACACCCCCCCCCACCTCATAAGCAGCAGCCACCTCCCTAAACTGCTCTTCCGCCTCCTCCTTATTCTCCACGTTCTTATCCGGATGCCACTTGAGAGCCAGCCTCTTATACGCCCTCTTGATGTCAGCTGCAGACGTGCTCTTACCAATCCCCAACACCCTGTACCTCGTACCTTACTCCACCATCCCTTTCCCTCCTCCCATACCCTGTGGACCCTGTGCGGGTACTACCCACACCCCCCCTCACCTCATAAGCAGCAGCCACCTCCCTAAACTGCTCCTCCGCCTCCTCCTTATTCTCCACGTTCTTATCCGGATGCCACTTGAGCGCCAGCCTCTTATACGCGCGCTTGATGTCAGCTGCCGATGCACTCTTGTCCAACCCAAGCACCTTGTAATAGTCCTTGCGTTTGCTCATCTTCAACCCCTGCTCCGCCCTCTGAAACCCCGCCACTGCTTCACGGCTCTGCATAGGGTGATGGGGAGGAGGGGACGGGAGGGCATGGAGGGTGAGCGTTAGAGGATGGTGTGCTAGCTGTAGCCTGTAGGCATGCGACACATCGGCATGTGACACTCAAAAAGAGACAACTCACCTCTAGATTGAACCATTTTCCCTACCTGCTGGTTCAGCTGGTGCAGTCAACTCGCCCTACCTGCTGGTTCAGCTGGTGCAGTCAACTCGCCCTACCTGCTGGTTCAGCTGGTGCAGTCAACTCGCCCTACCTGCTGGTTCAGCTGGTGCAGTCAACTCGCCCTACCTGCTGGTTCAGCTGGTGCAGTCAACTCGCCCTACCTGCTGGTTCAGCTGGTGCAGTCAACTCGCCCTACCTGCTGGTTCAGCTGGTGCAGTCAACTCGCCCTACCTGCTGGTTCAGCTGGTGCAGTCAACTCGCCCTACCTGCTGGTTCAGCTGGTGCAGTCAACTCGCCCTACCTGCTGGTTCAGCTGGTGCAGTCAACTCGCCCTACCTGCTGGTTCAGCTGGTGCAGTCAACTCGCCCTACCTGCTGGTTCAGCTGGTGCAGTCAACTCGCCCTACCTGCTGGTTCAGCTGGTGCAGTCAACTCGCCCTACCTGCTGGTTCAGCTGGTGCAGTCAACTCGCCCTACCTGCTGGTTCAGCTGGTGCAGTCAACTCGCCCTACCTGCTGGTTCAGCTGGTGCAGTCAACTCGCCCTACCTGCTGGTTCAGCTGGTGCAGTCAACTCGCCCTACCTGCTGGTTCAGCTGGTGCAGTCAACTCGCCCTACCTGCTGGTTCAGCTGGTGCAGTCAACTCGCCCTACCTGCTGGTTCAGCTGGTGCAGTCAACTCGCCCTACCTGCTGGTTCAGCTGGTGCAGTCAACTCGCCCTACCTGCTGGTTCAGCTGGTGCAGTCAACTCGCCCTACCTGCTGGTTCAGCTGGTGCAGTCAACTCGCCCTACCTGCTGGTTCAGCTGGTGCAGTCAACTCGCCCTACCTGCTGGTTCAGCTGGTGCAGTCAACTCGCCCTACCTGCTGGTTCAGCTGGTGCAGTCAACTCGCCCTACCTGCTGGTTCAGTTCAACTCGCCCTACCTGCTGGTCAGCTGGTGCAGTCAACTCGCCCTACCTGCTGGTTCAGCTGGTGCAGTCAACTCGCCCTACCTGCTTGTTCAGCTGGTGCAGTCAACTCGCCCTACCTGCTGGTTCAGCTGGTGCAG